AGACAAATTGAGCATCACTCTCCATCCAGCATCCAGGCAGGTAATTCTTGAAGAATGGAAAAAGATAGATGTTGCAGTATGTCACCAACTTGTTAATTTCATGCCTAGAAGACTTGGTACTGTCCTTCCAAACCATGGAGGTCATACAAAATACTAGATGATGTAGTTTTTGTTGTGGGGTGTATTCATTTTTGCATCAACTAATTTGAGTAAAATTTAAAATTTTGTAATCCAAGTTATATTGTTAACTTTACTTTCATGTAATGAGCTAAACAAATGTTCTATAGAACTCAGTTTTGTCAAAATGTTGGAAATTGTTCTTGTGTTCTTTGAGATATTGATTAAAATCTTACTTTTCAAAAGGGGTGTACTCATTTATGCTGAGCACTGTATATATATATCAGCAAATTCTTGCTGTGGTGCCTAATCTTCCCCTCCAATAGTGTACATATACCAGTTATGTTAGGCTGACTGGTCTGTGGTTCCCTGGTATATACAGTGCTCAGCATAAATGAGTACACCCCTTTTGAAAAGTAAGATTTTATTCAATATCTCAATGAACACAAGACCAATTTCCTAAATGTTGACAAAACGAGTTTTATAAAACATTTGTTAAATTCATTACATGAAAGTACGATTAATAATTTAATTTGGATTACAAAATTTTTAGTTTTGCTCAAATGAGTTCATGCAAAAATGAACACACCTTGATGTTCGAGTTAAACATAAGTTCAACTTGAACATCGGGTGTTCGCCGAACACATGGACGGTAAGGGTGTTTGTTGGACTTTTCGCCCACTGAGCGCCCCACAATGCACTGTGCTCTCACAGTGCATTTTGAGAGTAATGATTGGCCAAAGCAATGCACCTGACCGCAGGTCAGGTGCAATGCTTTGGCCAATCACAGCACAATGCACTGAGAGAGAGGGAGTCATGATTGACCAGAGTCTCTGCGACTTTGACCAATCGTGGTTCTCGGTTGGTGTTGTGTAGTGTGTTGGTGGAGTTTAGTGAAGTTAGTTAGTGGTGTGTTAGGAGACAGTGTAGTGTAGTCAGTGTATTTGGGTGTTGTGAAGAACAGTGAAGTGTCAGTGTTTTTTACAGCATTTCTGCATCACTGCTCTCTGTTCACAATCTCATCACCTTCACAGTCTCCTCATCCTCTAACACCTATCCCACCAAACAGCAAACAATTACCAGCAGAAATCTCCGAAACTTGAACCTAGCTCCCTTTCACTCTGCAACTGACCAACTCTGTGACAGCATCAATCCCCTGTCCTGCCCTGACCTGGCCACTGCTGTCTACAACAACTTGCTTTCCCCTGCTTTAGACTTGATTGCTCCCCTAACAACATGAAGCATCAGGCCCCGACCGCTACAACCTTGGCAGACTGACCATACCCGAAATCTCAAACAACATAGTCGTGCGCTGGAGCGATTATGGCGTAAAGCCAAATCCCACCAAGCGTTCACCCGTTATAAACCTGCCTTCCTAACATACACTTCCTCCCTTCATGCTCCTAAACAAGCCTTCTTTGTCACTCTCATTAATACCTTCTCTTCCAGTCCTCGTCGGCTCTTCTCTTCTTTTAACTCTCTACTTTCTCCACCTCCACCACCACCCAGCGCCTCACTTACTGCCCACAAGATTGCACACCATTTCAAAAACAAGATTGACGCAATTCGTAGGGACATCGCCACTACACAGACACCCACCCCACTTAGCATTCCTCATACCATACCAACCTCAACACTTTCCTCCTTTGACCTCGCTACCACCGAAGAGGTCACTAAGGTCTTCTCATAAGCACGCCTCACCACCTGCCCCCTGGACCCTGTCCCCTCACAACTCCTTCGGTCACCCTCCTCTTCCATCCTATGCTCCCTCACTCACATCTTCAATCTTTTCTTCTCTACAGGTGCCTTCCCCTCCCGTCTAAAGCACGCGCACATCACTCCCATGCTTACAAAACCCTCCCTTGACCCCACCAACCTGAACAACCTAAGACCCATCTCCCTGCTGCCATTTACCTCTAAACTCCTAGAACGCTTAGTCTACAATCGTCTGAGCTCCCACCTCACCGACAACAACCTTCTCGACCCTTTACAGTCTGGCGTTCACCCTCTACACTCAACTGAAACTGCCCTACTAAAACTCTCTAATGATCTACTAACTGCTAAAACCAATGGCCACTATTCAATACTCCTACTACTCGACCTCTCCGCGGCTTTTGGCACGGTAGACCATCCCCTCCTCCTCAAAAAACTACACTCTCTTGGCCTCAGAGACTCCGCTCTCCCCTGGTTCTCCTCCTATCTATCGCAGTGCTCCTTCAGTGTTACCTATAACGCTTCCACCTCCTCTTCAATCCCTCTCTCTGTAGGGGTCCCTCAACGTTCTGTCCTTGGACCCCTTCTCTTCTCCATCTACACCTCCTTCCTTGGTCACTTGATAAACTCCCACAGCTTCAAGTACCATCTCTATGCTGATGACATGCAAATCTATCTGTCTACCCCTCACCTCACCCCTTCAGTCTCTACTCGCATCACTAGCCTACTAGGTGACATATCGGCTTGGTTGTCACTCCACTTCCTCAAACTCAACCTTTCCAAAACTGATCTCTTAGTATTCCCCCCTGCCCGTGTCACCTCCACTGACTTCACCATAAATATCAGTAACACAATCATCAGTCCATCCCCTCATGCCAGGGTACTAGGTGTAATCCTAGACTCCCATCTGTCCTTCGAGCCCAAGATCCAATCGCTGACAAAATCATGTAGACTACACCTCCGCAACATCTCCAAGATATGACCGTTCCTAACCCCGGAAACCACTAAGCTACTTATTCACTCCCTTGTCATATCACGCCTCGTCTATTGTAACTCCCTCCTCATTGGCCTACCTCATCGCAGGCTATCCCCACTCCAGTCTATCATGAACGCTGCTGCCAGACTCATCCACCTTACTAACTGTTCTGTATTTGACACCCCTCTCTGCAAATCCCTCCACTGGTTCCCAGTTGCTCAACGGATAAAATTCAAAACACTAACAATGACATATAAAGCCGTCCACAACACTGCCCCAATTTACATAACCGATCTTATCTCTAAATATCACCCAAACCATACTCTCCGCTCCTCGCAAGACCTCCTACTCTCTAGCTCCCTTATCTCCTCCTCCCATGCTCGTCTCCAAGAATTTTCCAGGGCGTCACCCATCCTCTGGAACTCCCTACCCCAATCTATCAGACTATCGCCTACTCTACTTAGGGAAGCCTATCCCGCCCTCTGCTAATACTGGAATCCTCTACTCTTCCAACCACTCCATCCCCCAGTTATTACCTATTGTACCATTCACCCCTCCCTCCTAGATTGTAAGCTCCAAGGAGCAGAGCCAATCCTTCTTGTATTGAACTGTATTGTTACTGTATTGTCTCCCACTATAATGTAAAGCGCTGAGCAAACCGTTGGCGCTATTAAAATCCTGTATAATAATAAAAAAACTGATGTTTAAATTTTTTTTCAGGTTCTGTTGCTGCATTATTAGTATTCCACCTTCTGTGTCACAGGTTTCCTTTTCTTTTTTATTTTGTTAATTGGTGTGGTATTTTTTCAACACATTCAGCAGACCGCAGCATTGCTTTTTGCTGTCTCTGTCTGAAGTGGATAAAGCATGCCCAAATCACCAGCAGCTTGGACACCACATGCTTGACAAGACATATGACTACCTGCCATGCAGCCCATTGGCAACAGCACCCACATCATAGAAAAGTGCAGACTCCTTGCTCCTCATCTGGGACCTCTACCCCCTACTATACCTCAAGTCTTCTTAACAGCCTCCACTGAGAGGGATGATGGTATAGCAATGGGTGCCACAGCTCCACCCAATCTGCTAGCAGTACACTAACTGTTGATTTCACCAAGCAAATTTAGCTACCCCAGTTGCTGAACCATAAATAAAAATACTGTCCCACCCATCCACATGCTTAGCGTCTAATTACTAACTTGGCCAAATTGCTAGCATTACAACTGATTCCTTTCCATCTGGTGAACTCTGCCCCCTTCCATGAATTGAATGTGCTGTACCACATTGGCAGTGTGGGGAAATATGAGCAGGTTCCGAAAAAGAAATTTCTTTTCACGTAAGGCCATTCCAGCTCTATACCATCATATGGAAGGCAATGTTTTGGCCTCATCGGACAGGGCGGTCAGCAGCAAATAGCTGGTGGTAATTCTGCCACATCTGTCTGCTCCACCCCCCTCCTCTACCTCTTCTGCTGAATTTTCCTCTGAACCAGCAGTGCTCCATAAGCATTCATGGGGCTATGCAAGCAGTTGGGCTAAAATATGCCATGTGGTGCTTCAGCTGGTCTGTTTAGGGGACAGGAGCTCACCAGGGCAGAGATTCTGTCAGCTCTGCAGGGGCAGGCTCAGAGGTGGATAACACCAGAGCAGCTTGAGCCAGGAATGGTTGTATGCCTCAATGGCACCAACCTTCTCTCTGCCCTCTGACAGGGACACTTGACACATGTTCCATGCTTGGCACATTATCCTGAATTTGGTGGTGCAGCATTTCTTGAACAGGTACCCAGGCTTACAAGATCTTTTGAGGCAGGCCAGAAAAGTCTGGCCATTTCCGCTGGTCATACACGGCCAGTGTTCGGCTGGCTGACTTTCAACAGGATTTCAACTTGCCCAACAACCTCCTCATTTGTGTCAGGGAGCGAAGAGCCAGACACACAAGGAGGTGCAATTAAAGGTAGGTTTATTGTACAAAAACAAGACAGAGTCTATGCAAGTCCAACAGCAACAGCGGATGACTTGGTAGGACAGAAGCCAGGAAGGATGGTCGCCAGAGCCGGGGTCAGAAGCCAGGAAGGATGATCGCCAGAGCCGGGGTCAGAGCCAGGAAGGATGATCGCCAGAGCCGGGGTCAGAAGCCAGGAAGGATGGTCGCCAGAGCTGGGGTCAGAAGCCAGGAAGGAGTCTTGCCAAAGCCGAGTCGGTATCCAGGAGAGCAATGAGAACTAAAAAGGAGCTTGCTGCTGTGCAACAGACAGGACACGAATGCAATGGACAGCTACAAACAGCAGACTTATATGTGATAAGCCGCCACCTCCTGGGGGAGGAGCTGCAGAGGCTGAAAGCATAAAGGATCCCACAATGCTTTGCAGACACCTAAGATGGATGCCAGCACATGGAGCAGCACAAGCCCTGAGGAAAGGTAGGACCTTGACAGTACCTCCTCCTCAAGGACCCCTCACCCTCCGCGGCTCAACATAAGGCTTCTGAGGAAAGTGGGCGTGAAAAGCGCGGAGGAGGACAGGCGCATGAACATCCGCGGAAGGAACCCAGGAACGCCCCTCGGGATCATAACCATGCCAATGGACCAGGAACTGCATCCGACCGCAGACCAACCGAAAGTCCAGGATGCGGCTGACCTCAACTCCTCATGACCGTCAACCCGGATAGGACGAGGCCGAGAGGCAGTAAAGCGATTACAGACCAGAGGCTTCAACAGGTACACGTGGAAGACATTGGAGATACGCATCCCAGGAGGAAGAGCAAATGCATAGGCAACCGGGTTCACCCTGCAGAGGATGCGGAAAGGACCAACAAAATGGGGAACCAGTTTCGGTGCGAGCACCCGAAGATTGAGGTTACGAGTGGACAACCACACCCGATCTCTGACCTGGTATGAAGGAGCGGGCAACCGTATGCGATCAGCCTGGAGCTTCTGGCGCTGAGCTGAGTCCTTCAAGGACCTCTGGATCTGCCCCCACGAGGAACACAGGGCAGCAAGATGGTTATCCACAGCCGGAATGTCCTGTGGCGAGAACAACTCAGGCAATACAGTGGGTTGGAACCCATAGTTGGCCATAAAGGGAGACATCCCGGAGGAGGAGTTGACAGCCGAGTTCCTCGCAAACTCTGCCCATGGCAGGAGATCGACCCAATTGTCTTGATGGTCAGAGATATAGCAGTGAAGGAATTGTTCCAGGGCCTGGTTGGAACGCTCCGTAGCCCCATTGGACTGCGGGTGGTAGGCCGAAGAAAAGGAGAGCTTGATACCCAACTGGGAGCAGAAGGCGCGCCAGAACCTGGACACAAACTGGCTCCCACGGTCTGAGACAATCACCTTAGGCAACCCATGCAAGCGAAAGATCTCCCTGGCGAAAACCGTAGCCAGTTCTTGCGCAGTCGGCAATTTCTTGAACGGAACACAATGGCACATCTTGGAGAAACGATCAATGACTATAAGAATGACCGTATGGCCTCGAGACGCAGGGAGGTCTACAATAAAATCCATGCCCAGGTGTGACCAGGGACGCTCCCCATTGGGAATGGGTTGCAGAAGGCCCAATAGAAGATGCCGAGGAGATTTATTCTGGGCACAGACAGAACATGTCGCTACATATGAGGCGATGTCGGAAAGGAGAGATGGCCACCAGAATAAACAAGAAATGACCCAGGACAACTGGTTCCTCCCTGGATGACCGGCAGTCTTGGAGTTATGGTAGGTACGCAGCAAGCGGGTGCGCAATCCCTCAGGTACGAAACATCTACTAGCCGGTCTCTCAGAGGGAGCATCAGTTTGAGCCGCCAAAATCTGCTCCCAAGTGGAGAAGTCAGGCTGGTACGAATGGCAGCAAGGATCTGATCCGGAGGTATGACCGAGGTCGGCTCAGAGTCCTCCCTGGAAAGCTCAGAGTATTGCCGTGACAAGGCATGAGCCCTGACATTCTTGGAGCCAGGCAAATAGGAGACCACATAGTTAAAACACGACAAGAACAGAGCCCATCTGGCCTGATGGGGCGTCAACCTCTTAGCTTCTGAGAGATAAGTCAGGTTCTTGTGGTCAGTGAGAATGAGAACCGGAACCGCAGAACCCTCGAGTAGGTGCCTCCATTCCTTGAGAGCCTGAATAATGGCCAATTCCCTGTCTCCAATCTGGTAGTTGCATTCTGCGGAGGAAAGCTTCCTGGAATAGAACCCACAGGGAAGTAGGGGTCCATCGGGCGACCGACGCTGAGACAGGAGGGCGCCTATTCCCAACTCAGATGCATCAACCTCGAGGACAAAAGGCAACCCAGGATTGGGATGAGACAGTATCGGAGCCGAAGCGAAGGCGGATTTCAGAGCTTTGAAAGCTAAGATGGTCTCGGATGACCGTGGGGATTGCTGCCCTTCTTGGTCAGATCTGAGAGAGGCTTGGCCAGCGTGGAGAAGTTCCTGATAACCCTTCGATAATAGTTGGCGAATCCCAAAAAGCGCTGAATAGACTGAAGACCACTGGGACAAGGCCACTGCAGAACTGCCAAAACCTTCTGAGGGTCCATGGAAAATCCCACAGCGGAAATGATGTAGCCCAAAAAGGCAACCTGGGATCGGTGAATTCACACTTCTCGAGTTTACAGAAAAGCTTGTTCTCACGTAACCGTTGCAGCACCCGCTTAACATCCTGGATATGAGACTCCATAGATGCAGAGTAAACTAGGATGTGGTCCAAGTAAACCACCACGCACTGCTGCAACAAGTCATGAAAGACATCATTAATGAACTCCTGAAAGACCGCGGGCGTGTTACACAACCCGAAGGGCATGACCAAGGATTCATAGTGGCCGGGTTCTGGTGTTGAAAGCGGTCTTCCACTCGTCGCCCTCCTTGATCCGTACGAGGTTGTACGCAGCCCTAAGGTCGAGTTTAGTAAAGACTGTTGCTCCCTTGAGACTGTCGAACAAGTCGATAATCAACGGAATTGGGTAAGCATTCTTAATCGTGATTCTATTGAGACCCCTAAAATCAATGCAAGGCCTCAATTCACTGCCCTTCTTTTTCATGAAGAAAAAGCCAGCTCCTGCTGGAGAAGTAGACTTGCGAATGTGCCCCCGGGAAAGCGCATCCGCAACGTACTCCTCCATGGCCTGATTCTCTGCAACCGAAAGAGGATACACCCTGCCACATGGAGGAGTGGCACCGGGTTGTAAGGTTATGGCACAATTGTATGGACGATGAAGAGGCAGAGCACTGGCGCGCACCTTGTCAAACACGTCCAGGTACTCCCCATAGTCAGTGGGCAACACAGAGTCCAAGGAGGCACACAACACCTTAATTGGTCCGCGGATGCAACCGGCCCCACACTGTGGAGACCACGAGAGAATCTCGGCCGACCGCCAATCAAAGGTCGGATTGTGCTTCTGAAGCCAGGGATATCCCAAAACCACGGAGTAGTGCGGGGAAGAAATTACCTGGAAACAGGCCAACTCCCTGTGAACAGCCCCAATAGCTACTTCAACCGGCAGGGTCTCGTGGGTAACCTGCGGCGGTTGCAGGGGCCTGCCATCTATCACCTCGAGGACCAATGGAGTAACTCGAGCCTCCAGAGGAATGGAGTACTGGGCAGCAAACGAAACTGTCCATAAACAACCCACCAGCACCAGAGTCTACCAACGCCTGGGCCATCACCGAGCCTTTCACCCAAGAGAGGACAACAGTGATTAGCAGTTTATCTTTGCGGGAAACCAGGGACGAGGAAACTCCACCCAAGATCTGCGCCAACAGGATCTCAGGTGCGAGCGTTTCACGGACGGACCGGAAAGGACTGCCGAAAATGCCCACCGATACCACAGTACAGGCAGCGACCCTCCTGACGCTGAGAGGCCCACTCCCCCTCAGAAAGGCGAGCAAACCCCAGCTGCATGGGCTCACCGCCAGACAAACCATCCCCAGGAGGCGTGGGAGGAGAGGGAGGAATGGGTGGGACAGAAAACATAGGCGCCAATTGGTTAGGAGGCCTCCGCAGACGCTCCTTAAGTGAAGGCCTCTCCCTGAGCCTGGTGTCAATCAGGATTAGGAAGGAAATGAGTGCTTCGAGCTCCACAGGCAGTTCTTTGGCTGAAATCTCGTCCTTCAACACATCTGAGAGACCATGAGAAAAAGCAACCACCAGAGCCTCATTGTTCCAACCCACCTCTGCCGCCAGGGTACGAAATTCTATGGCATACTCGGCAACGGTTCGTGAACCCTGATGCATGGACATGAGCAGCTTAGCAGCAGAGGCGGAGCGAGCAGGCACATCAAATACCGTACGGAAGGAGGCAACAAAAACGGCAAACTCGTGAATCACAGGTTTATCGTTCTCCATAAGGGATTTGCCCAGGCCAAGGCCTTGTCCGAGAGCAGCGAGATTAGGAAGCCCACCTTTGACCTCTCAGTAGGAAAAGCGTGGGGTATCAATTCAAAATATATGCCCACTTGGTTAAGGAAACCCCGACACTGACTCGGCTCACCCCCAAAGCACTGTGGAAGGGGGGCTGAACCAATCATACCTCTGGGCACCGCAGGTGCGGCAGCAGATGTGGAGGTAGGCGCAACAACCGGAGCAACAGCGGGAGCGACCACAGGAGTGACAACCGGCCTAATAGCACCAGGAGTAAGGTGCGCTGTGCGTGCAAGCAGCATCTGCAATGCCTGAGCGAACTGACCCAACAAGAGATCCTGCTGATCAAGTCTGGCAACCAACATAGGGAGTGAGGGGCGTACCTGCACCGTCAGGATTCATGGCATTCGTGTAGTGTCAGGGAGCGAGGAGCCAGACACACAAGGAGGTGCAATTAAACAGCGGATGACTTGGTAGGACAGAAGCCAGGAAGGATGGTCGCCGTAGAAGCTGAAAGCATAAAGGATCCCACAATGCTTTGCAGACACCTAAGATGGATGCCAGCACATGGAGCAGCACAAGTCCTGAGGAAAGGTAGGACCTTGACAATTTGTGGCTTGCCCACCAGGTGGAACTCAACATTGGAAATGCTGCAACGGCTGCACACTCAGCAGAGGGCCATCAATGAGTACCTGTTTGAATATGGCACAAGGACAGGCTCAGGGGAGCTTGGCTTCTTTTTACCACACCAGTGGCTGCTGCTAACGGATGCATGCACTGTCCTGTCACCATTTGAGGAGGCCACAAGGATGGTAACAATGCATGCATCAGTGACAATATCCCTCTAGTCTTTTTGGTGGAGCACATGCTGCGTGGAATTATGGACAGGGCACTTGAGGCAGAACAGCGGGAGGAAGAGGAAGACTTCCTTTCCTCTCAAGGCCCCCTTTATGTAGCCATTCCTGCAGGGCTGCAGAACAGACAGGAGGAGGAGGAGGAGGAAGAGGAGGAGGAGAATTGTGGCAGCATGGAAGTAGAGGATAACATACGGCAGTCTTCAAAGGATGGTTTTCAGTCCCCAGAAACCCAGCCAGGAGTAATATATGGCTGGGAGGAGGTAGTTCCTGACAGTGTCATCCTCAGTGACATAGAGGACTCAGAATCTCATGCAGTGGGAGCAGAGGATGAAACATCTTGAGGACACCTTGAAGAAAAATTTGTGTAACACCTTTCTAGACACTGGGAGGTTACCATTTCCTGGACAACGTGTTTCTGAGGCTTCATTTGGTCAAAGGAAGAGCGGAGGAGAAGGTGGCCAGCTGAGGAATGCCTTTAAACAATTCTTTAGTCCTCAGTGCCAAGGGCTGTTAGGTTTAAGCCCCCATCAGCAGTGTCTGCATCACATGGTGCAGGATTATCTAGGGGTAAGAGCAGACTTTGAGACCTTTCCAACTGAGGATCTACCAGGTTACTGGGTCTTGAGGATGGATCATTGGCCAGAACTTGCTCAATATGTAAACAGGCTACTGGCTTGTCCTGCATCCAGTGTGTTTTCTGAATGATTATTCAGTGCTGCTGGAGGTTTTATGATGGATTAAAGAGTGCGTCTGACCCTGTTGACCGGCTGACATTTCTCAAAATGAATCAGTCCTGCAGCAGCAACAGCAGCTATCAAGCCCCTGATACTGATGTAACTGATTAAATTTGTTAGTATGCTGCCTATTCTATTCCTGAATCCTGATTATGCTAGCTTCCAACAATGTTTTTGGTTTAGGGCTCTACCAACACCCAAGGCAAAATTTTTCTGCACCTGTTTGACAGGTGCATCTAGTTTAAATTTTTTTACAATGTCCCCATTGTCACAATCGCCGGATCGCCGCCACCAACATGCAACAATCGCACGACCGCGACCAACAATACGTCACGCCTGCGGCGTCAGACCCCAGACCTTCTCACCAAACTCGTGACTGAAGGACCGGCCGATCTAAAACCGCAATGTGACGTGCGTAACAAGGCCACACCCAGTTGCACCCTACACAGCGATTTTCCAGCTAATGGACCACAATCGGTGCCTGTAGTCTGAATGCGCTTGTTACTAAGTCGGGTTAATTATGCAACTAACCCTTTCACACTGCCACCACCTTCTTTTGTACAGAGAACAAGGAAACTCTCTTTATCCAATATACACTGTAATGGTTGAAAAGCCGCCTGTCCAATGCGGTCAGTGCAGGCCAATCGGGCAGAGGATTAAACAAACACAGTAGCGTCTCTTCAAAAGGCAGGAATTTGTGAATTGCAAGTAAGCGCTTAGAAACAGTTTAACACTTTCAGAAAGAAAGATTTATTACTAAAAGAGTCAAACAGGTGCAATAAAATATTTACAAAGAAAATGTAACCAAGATCCAAGTTGCAGAGCGACAAGGGTCTTTGATCTCCTGCTGTTACAATATTAAAATTAGGAGATGTGTTTAGCTTAACTCAGGCCTACAGCCTGTGTTTTTTAAAGTCCCCCAACAAGGGGGTGGCTCTGAGTAACTGGCCAATACCCTGTTTTGGGAGGGATCGGTCGGGCGAACTCTGAATTAAAACTAACAGCTTCATAATCCATGATATGAAACATAGGTGACAGCTGACCTGAGGAATGTTCATTTAACTTCTGTCACCTGGCTGGTAGGGTTTATGAGGTTCCAACTTCTTTCAAGTCCAGGGAAAAACTATCTTATCTTGGTTAGGAGGTGTGTTTTTACACAGGCCTTGGGACAGAGAGTCTGCTGTCTCTATGGGGGGGCTTTGTAGCGCTGGGCCCCCTGCTGCTCAAGCCTGCCAGCACTTTTAACACTTACACATCTGTCCCTGTGCCTCTCAGGAAGGGAGGGGGTAGGGAATAAATGATTGAGGAATACTTCTAATAAAAAAGGGGAACTCCACGTCTATCTCTGATGAGCAAGTTTGCTACACCCATGACGATGGGGACAAGGGCCCCTTCCCCACAACCCTTGCCCTGTGGTTGTGGGGGTTTGCAGGCAGGGGGGTCATTAGCATCAGGGTTCCTCTTTAAATAAGGGTGCACCCCTGCCTATAGCAGATTGACGGCCCAGAGGGACTCTTCTCCTTCTGAGTGGACATCATATGACGTCCTGTAAGAAGGGGTATTTTAACCAAAGAAATGTAGCAGAATACATTTTGACCTATTCTATATAGTGGGCGGCTGGAACAACATTCCATCCAGTGGGACTTGCAAGAACGGGGTTATCTGGCAGTGTCCACATTGTTTGATAAGCGAGGTTTACCTTTTTAACATGTGAGTTACCACACACTTTTGAATAAATGATTGCTTTTATCACTGCATTTAGATGGTGCTTCACTTTCTCTCTTCTATTTATCCTACTGATGAGCTGGCTTTTGATTCTTTGGAACCAGCAGCTATAAGTGTATTTCAAATTTTCTTATCCTGCTTGGACTTTGATTGATTTTATATCTGGACTTTTATTGGTGCCCCTATCACCTCTTCCCCTTTCCCCTCTCCTTTTTATTAACATGCAACAGGTTCAGTTACTGCTACTATAGACTTTTGCAGAACCCAAAATTTTGTTTTGTTTTGATTCGTTCTTTAAATACATTTGTTTCATTTAATTAATTTTCAGAATTTGTTTTGTTTTCAAATTTGATTTGAATTCAATTTGACCTAATTCGAATTGGCATTCAAATTCTAATTTATTCTATTTGAATTTAGAATTTTGGAAGATTGCTATTCTTTCTAACTTATTCTTTTCTATTCTATTCTCTTATTTTCTATTCTTTTCTAATGTATTAAAAATTATTCAATTTGAAATTCAAATTTCGGAAGACCGTTATATTCTTTCTATTGTTTTTTTCTATTCAATTCAAATTCAAATTTATTCTGTTCAAAGTTCAAATTTTGGAAGCTAGTTATATTATTTCTATTTTATTCTATTTACTATTTTTTTCTATTCTCTTATTTTCTATTCTAATCTATGCTCTTATTTTCTATTCTTTTCTGTTCTATTCGAATTTCGAAAGATGGTTATATTGTTTCTTTTGTTTTTTTCCATTCTATTCGAATTTTATTCTATTGTATTGTTTATTTTATTCTATTCTTTTCTGTTCTAATCTATTCAAATTCAAATGTATTGATCACCCCGTAACCCAGCCAGTGCCATTAGTACAGTGTCAGTAAATAGAATTTTTCACTGTATTACTGCCACTAGCAACATCAGATAGCGTCAGGGTCAGCTAGAGCCCCTCCCAGCCAGGGTCAGGTAGTGTTAGATCACTTGCTTTTACAAGCAGTGGGAAGGGATGCCCACCCCCTCCCGCCACCTTCCACGGCTTTCTTGGGCTCTTTCATTCCACAGGGGAATCCGAGAATGCAGCCGGCAGTTCCACCAGCTGACCATAGAGCTGATTGGAGACCATCATGGCTCCAATCCTAAGAAACTGGAAGCTACAAGCATTTCATCATTTCCGTCTTGCTGGATATTAACAGTGCCATTTTTAAATTGGGAATGCATCTGATTACACCAATCTTGGTGTGATCAGATGCTTTAAGGGGAGAGGAGTGTTCTAGAGTCTAATAGACCCCAGATTTCTCAAAAGCAATCAAAAAAATGCGCAAAGGCGAATTCATGCGTTGGTCCCCTGTCGGTATGTAAACAGAGATTGCACCATGCATGTGAGGTATCACTGCGAATGTCAGATCGAGGGCAGTAATTCTAGCACTAGACCTCCTGTGTAATTATAAAGCGGTGACCTGTAAAGGCTTTTAAAGTGTTGCCTATCAATATTAAAAATGTACAGTATGTAGCCGTTGCAGGGGCATATGCAATTTTAAAGCTTGCCATGCTTGGCATCCATTTAAGCATAACATCATCTTTCATATTTTATCAAACAATTGGGTAATATATTGTGTTTTTGTGCATTAAGATTCAAAAAAGTGTATTTTTTACCAAAATTTAGAGTTTGAAAAATCGCCGCCGCGCAGATACTGTGTGTCATAAAAAATTGCAATACCCACCTAGAATACTGCCTAGTATTCTCTAGGGCCATTGCTTTAAAAATTATATAATGCTTCAAAGTAATTTTCTAGCAAAAAAAATGTTTTTTCATGTAAACAAAAAGTGTCAGAAAAGACTTGCTCTTCAAGTGGTTAGAAAAGTGAGTGATTTGTGGCATAAGTTTCTAATGTTGGCCCTGAAATGCCAGGATAGTAGAAGCACCCCCCGCACCATGACCCCTTTTAGTAAAGTAGACAATCCAATGTATTTGCTAAGAGGCATGGTGAGTATTTTGCAGACCTAATTTGTTGCCACAAGTTTTTGGAAATGAAAAGTTGACAGTTTCAGAGGCCCTAACCCACTGGTAACATCAAGCCCAACTTTGAAATCATGCGACTTACTGTGAGGTCGCACAATTTCAAATTTGGGGCAGATGTCTATGCAAATTGCAACTAAAGTAGTACATGTACTACTTTAGAAATTGGTGTAGCTACGACCAAGTCAGAACCACACCCATTTGACCACTCTAATTGCAGACAAAGGGTGCTACTTTGCATATGATTTGCAAGTTGCATGGCATGCAAATCGCATGCCAAGTCACACCCGATGTGACCCGGATGTAAAATGCCAGGATAGTACAAACACCCCCCAGATGACCACTTTTTGTAAAGTAGACAATCCAAAGAATTTGATAAGAGGCATGGTGAGTATTTTGTAGATATCACT